CCAATTTTATAGCTCTGAGCTTGACAACAAACAAATAAACTGTTTGTGCTTTTATTTTAATGTGTAATTTATACCTTAATTTATTTATTTTTTAGAGTTTCTACGTTAATCTAGCATGAACGTTATACAATGTTATAGTTTATTCAATATTTATTTCTGAAAATTCACCCGGAAGGTTACGACACCTGTAAATAAAATTATATATTTTTTTTTATTCTATTATTATCATATATCCATAGTTTCATCAGGCAACATCTCGAGATATTGAGTTATAATATGGTTTAAAGCTATTGTATTTAACTCGTCGTCCTTCGGTGGGTCAGCGGTAAATCTATGGACTTACAACACTAAAATCCGGATTTAGATTCCCCACGCTGGACAGTAGCTGATCAAAAGTATAACATCAATCCTGTATAATCAACTGATTATAAATACTTAATTCTATAAATTAATATACAATAAACCAAAACCTATAACGATTAGAATGCACTAAATAATCACATGAATATCCTTACTGTTAACGATATCTTCAGCAGTAATCCCAATTATATCTTACAAGGTTTTGCCAGCGTAAGAGATTTAATTTAGTATTAAATCCATAAGGTAAACTAACAATGCAGATAATCATTACAATAATAATAATAATAACTTATAATAGTAGACAAAGAAAAATAATAAAAAAATACATATATCATAAATATATTAACATTTTAACCAATGGCGTTAATGTTGTTTTCTCACTGCAAAGCTACAGAAAGGCTATAAGCACTCTGTCCACAACAGGTAAACGAACCCCGGATTTTAGCGTTGCAACTCCGGAAACTTATCGATAACCCACTGTTAATGAAAGTAACATTATAGGAAGTTATATATATGTATATATATTTATATATATATATATATATATTTGTAATAATACATTAGTATTAATCCTAATACATTTTTAAACACTACATTATTTATCTAGTCCATTAGGGATTTTCAGTAACAATAGAGGTGAATAACTATATACACAGCGTGGTCACAAGTAAATAGACACCACCTTTTCAGAAAAAAATGAAACTTTTCAGTCATATTCACATGAATTGATATATGTATAATTTAATTAATATCTAGTAGATCTTCCTTTCGCTTTGTGGAGTTCGTTGATCCTTTGGGGCATCGTGAGAATCATCTCGTCAATTTTAAATTGTGGGATTTTCGCCCAATCTTGCTTCAAAAC